TAAGCACTACTGTTCTTTCTTTCCTCCCCTGCGTTTTTAGTTAAGGCGACGTTAATAATTTATGTAAAGATCCTTTGGATTCCGAATTTTTCAGAAATTTTTTTTTAATTTTATACACATCATGTTCTTTTCTATTCTGAAGCATATTTTTTCCATCAAAACAACGGGACATTTAAAAAGAAAGAAAGAAAAGAAAAAAAAAAAAGGGCTAAGCGTCCCAAATAATAAACACATTCGCACGGTATCTAGCACTTCACCCGCAACTACCTCGACTTCAACCCCGTGATGCAAATAAAAAAAATAAACGAAACAAAAAATGAAGATTTTTTTTTTTCAAAGTAAACTGCAGCTGTCTGCTTTTGAACCATCATTGGAGATAACTATGCCGAACAATACTAGCACCAGTAGGCAGCAGGCAAGAAGAAAGGCAAAGGACGACCAACGTCACATAAAAAAAAGGGGAAAAAAGAATGGGGCCCTCGCCAGCTATATCGCATTAAACTTTGGCCGGGAATGATAATAATAACAGCAGAGAATGGAGATGAAGATTTGTTAGTAATAATTATCTTTTCTTCCTTTATTAGTAGCAGTATAATTTATTGCATGTAACGATCCTCGAAAAAGACAGCATCTGTTCGTTGGGATTCGAAACTTGGACGGAGGTGCATATTAGTAGCACCCACACGTCCCATGATTCCCGCTATCGTAAGCCGTATGCATCCTTCCTTCCCCCCGCCCCCAATCTCCCTCTTTCTTCTAAGCTAATCTAATTTCTAATCAAGCGCTCCGCTCTAACCACTTTGATTAAATCCTGTCCCCTTCTTTTTTGGAATGCTTTCCTTTCCCCTATAATTGGACTGGGCTTCTCTCTCTCTCTCTCCCCGGGGGTAGCGATCTAAATGATTAGTTAGATTAGAATGGCTTATTAATTTCTCCGATATTGCATGGGTATAAGGTGTTTTTGCTGGGGGGCAAAATAAAAATTGTCCACGTAATCCGATAAGACGCCGAGAGAACAAAAAAGCAAGGCAAAACGCTTTCTTTCTAAAGTGCTGAAGAAGTTGCATCTTGTCAATTGATTTGATTGAAGAAATCAATAATGTATCGGGGCACTTGTGTTTCACGATTTTGACCATTTCTTCAGAATTAACTGTTACCATTGGGTTTGTTTGGATAGACAGCGTATTATTTAAAATAATTATTATTATTTTTTTTGTGATATGATGTATGTGAGATAAAAAGGTGAATTAAAAAATATGTTTATGATACAAGTGAAATATTTATTGCTCGAAAGAGAGAGACAAACGCGAATAACAATTAATAATAACAACGTTTGGTTTTCTTGGAGGTTTTTCGTTAATCATTCTCTTTCTTTCTTGAAGTACTCCCTCCGTCCCACTTTGATAGTCTTGTTTTCCTTTTTCGTCTGTCCCAAATTGTAGTCCACTTTCCCATTAAAAAATGTAGTAATCTTTCAAATTATCTAAAATACCCTTATTAAATATCTTGTTATTAATACATTGTTATTAAATACTAACCTACTACATTGAATACGTTGGGTTTTTCCAATACTAACCCATTAGCTGATATTAATTGGCACTTTTCGTGATTAGCATAAGGGTATTTTAGGAAATTATTAATCTAAATTTATGTTTCCAATCAAATTAATTACACTTTCTTAATCTGTGTGAAGAAAAAATCAAGACTAACAAAACGGGACGGAGGGAGTAATTTTTTCTTCTCCCTTTTATCTAAGTTAAGAGGACAGCATAATGCAAATCAACTTGGATATTGAAGTGGCCTTTTTTCCTCCTAGCTTCGGGAAAATCAAAGTTCATAAAGAATTTTGCCGGAATAAGTCGTACTCGATAAAGTATAGCATAGAAGCCCCAACAAAGAAATGGTTTTTGTTCCTCTTTGTAAACGCTTGTCATAGTGCCACGATCTATTCAAGTTCCCTTTTTTTTTTGGGAGGAGATCTATTCAAGTTCGTTGTGCCACAAAATCATGATGGCTTAGCTGGGAGATCTAAAACCCTTGATCTTCTTGGTCCGTATACATGTCAGAAAAGCAACTACTACTAGTAAAGGCATAGGCAGTCACAATATGATGGTATTCTTAGTAGTCCACTATTTAAAAGCTGCTAGCTTTTGTTTCACTTTTAAATGATCAAAGTTTGAATATCCAATCTGGGTTTGTTTGCCTCAATTTGCGAAATTATTAACTGAAAAGTATGTGCTAAATGCTTATTATATAGCAATCTCAGTAACGAAAGTCGCATCAAAACAGATGGACCTAAAAAAGCCGCATTTCAATCCAAAACTGTCATCCTCCAACTGCATACCACCAGACCTCAAGACAGGGGAAGCCGTTGGTTTTTATCCATTTCATTTCTTAAACAAAGACAGAGACAAATATGACATGATCTGAGGTTTCCAGCATGACCACTTATTTCAACCATCTTCATGGACCCTTCTTGAATGACAAGGGCATGCCATTCTGACTCTAGTTTCAAAAGCTTCTTTAAAGATTTAAAAGCAAGAAGGTGTGGGAGTACTTTGTATTTTGTAAGCGCCTTGTAATACATGCATTTCTTCTGCATCATCAGGGGTTTCTGTATCCATTGCCACTGATAAATCACACTGCAACACTTTTGAAACAATTAATATTGTGGCAACCATTTGTTTGGGAAGTGGTCGCTAACATTGACCTTTCTGGTCATCGTACTCTACACTAACTGGCATTTTCTGTTGTGTAAGGTTGATCTATGTCTTGCATCTATAAATCACCAAAGAAATTCGCGTACTGCAAAACATAATAGGAACAGATCACAAGTCTCTAGCGATTATGAACATGACATACGCCTCACCAAATTGTATCATTAATAAGTATTCTTTTCACTAGAAGGAGAAGTGCTCTAATTTTCTACCTCTCTCGGTAGACATGCACATCTAGTACCAATTGTAAGAAGAGGATTAAAAGCTCGAGGATGGCACAAATTACCACACAAACACTACAGGATTCTAGTCATGGTGACTCATATATCTTCATTCTTGACAATAAAAGTGAAAAAGAAGTCCCTTGAATTTGCCGAGACGTTAGAATTGGTATCATACCTTTTCACCGATTTCGATTCGAACCTCTCCTGTGACAGCCGTCTGTCACACAGTGCTTGGCTAGATTTTTTAATGTACAAAAAATTGAATTATGAAAACATAATAGTGATTTGATGAAAAAGGGTTTCCTTTTGACGATGAAAAATGAAGGAATGTTCCTTTCTAGTTCGATCAATTTTGGAGAAAATCACAAAAGCACGAGATTTTTTTATTAATGTAGAAAAAGTGAACTAGGATATAAAACACATGAAGATACGGTTGACTAAGAAATCTGAAGAAATGCTTCAGATCTTGCATTAATTAACATTTGCAGTTCCGTACACAGATTTTGCATTTCAACCTGACTATATTAAGTTAATTGTGCTAAGTTGAGTTTTAGCAACAAATGAATGCATGTTTCTAAGATGTAGCCTACCGCTAAGTGTTTATCTTTGTGGCAAGGTTTTTTATGCTCGAAACTTTGGCAAGCTTCGTCAAGAAGGCTGTGGCTTCCAGCGTTAAGGGCACGCGATCACTAACAGTAGCGATCATTCATTGAGCTTTTGACTTAGTCCACAATTACTTTCTGATAATCATCGGGTTAAGAACATAGCTTTTACCTAATTCGTAATCTGCTCTGGCCAATTTTTGTCTCAACATGCATGGGGTTGACTGGCAATTCTTGCATGGTTTTATCGTAACAATTAGAAATAGTCCTAGCAGATGCCAAAGTCGCCATCAGCGTTATATGTTCAATCCCGTGCATGTCATTACCTACTTCGGCATGGGGTCATTATTTCTTAGGCAAAACAAAGAGGGATTAGTTAACAGATAGCAGTCAAAAAATGTTCCACTTAAAAAGAGAAACAGTTGTGATGGCATCATTAAAGTTAAAAACATGGGTCGTTGATTAGACAGTTCAAGTCGATAATGGCTTGCATTATTCATCTGATTGTATAGTTCAAAATTCTTTTGCGGGCTAGCGAGGTCCTTAATTATGTCATCCAATTATTGAAGTGCCATCAACCTAATCCAGAACAGTATCCATATATCAAATGGGATTCTACCATATTTAACTCAAGCGCAAGCCACTCCAAGCTAGAGGCAAACAAACAGTCCATTTTATCCTCTGTCACCATGGATCCCAGCTGTAATCTCCTCAGCTACACCGCTATCGCTATTGGTAGGATAGGATAGACACTAACTAGAGCAGAGCAGCGACAAAACTTTCCTACTTTTTCACCGTCTTGCTTTCAGTTCCCCCACCTTTGATTATTCTTTCCAGATTTCCGGGCTGCTTAATAATCATTACCACTGCCCACAGTTATCAAAAACTCAAAATGGCCAAAAATTTAAAAACAAAAAAAAAATATCACAAAACTGGTAAAGTGATATCCGAGCATGCATACAAAAAGCTTAAGATTGATTGAAAATTTAAAATTAGGTTTTTTTTTCCTCTTTTTTTGGGGTACTTCACATTTTCTGTCCCATGTTTTCTGTTCCTAAACTGCCGGAGCTACAATTTTTAAGGGCGAAAAAAAAAATGAAAGAAAATAAACTTAATTCTTTTTTGCTGGGGGGAGGGGGAGTTAATTTGGGGGGTGTTTGTTTCTCTCCCGGTTCTTTCCCAAACTCTCTTCACTCCTGCTATCTTCCCCCTTGCCTACTACGCCTTCTCTCTCTTCTGTACATAGGCCAAAATCGTCTCTTTCCATCATTCTTATGAAGGCCCATTTGGGACTCTACTGAGAAACCGAAACAAAGGTCGTTTCTTTCTCGAACATCCCAGAAGCTTCAACTGATCGAATTTCAACATCTTACCCTCAATCGATCTTGTTGATTCCAACACGCTTGACGGCCGCATTCCTAAACCCCTCATTAGCAACAGAGGCCTGCTGCATGCACATCCCCATCCCCATCCCCATTCCAATCCCGCCGTGCATCATCATCATCTGCTGCTGCTGCTGCTGATGCTGTTGATGAAGATTCTGCTGCTGCTCCATTCCCATCATGTAGTTTCTCACCTCGTTCCTTATCATCTCTTGCATCACCGCCAACAACTCCCCGGTGAAAGGAACAAATACCTTATCCTGCGGCTGAACCTGAGACCCAAAAGCTATTTGTTTACGGCCGTTCTGCTGGTCAACCGGTGCTGGTGGTGATGGAGGCGGGGGAGGAGGAAGGAGTTGAATCGGAGCCTTTGGTTGAGTTGAGTCGGTTGAGCGGGTGGACGCCTCGGTGGAGTCAACTCCAGGTAAGGAGAGGCTCAAACAAGTAGGAGGATCAGTAATGTTTTCCGAAGTCGTCTCCACCACCTGATGAGGAGGAAAAACGGGGCCAGCCCTAGCAACGGGTTTAAATACGTGAGAAGAGGAGGTATTGGGAAGGCTTGAAGAGCTGACGTCGGAGCCGGACGGACTGCCCGGGTTCAAGGACAAGCCACCCGAGACGTGTCCGCCGGACCCAGTGCTGGCGGTTCTCTTCAAGGGTTGGTGGTGGTGGAGTGGAAAGTCGTTGGAATAGTCGTTGGTAGCTTCGTCGGAGGAAGTGATGGAAGAGCACTTTCTCTTGAGAGTGGAATTCCAATGATTCTTGATGGCGTTATCGGTGCGACCGGAGAGCAATCGGGCTATGGTGGCCCATTTGTTGCCGAACTTGGCATGAGCCCGGATGATGGCGTCATCTTCCTCGGGAGTGAAGGCCCGGTGCTCGACTTGAGGAGAAAGCTGGTTACACCAGCGTAAGCGGCATGACTTGCCGGATCTTCCGGGAATGGATTTGCTAATCAAGGACCAGTTTCTAGGTCCATGCTTTTGAACCAGTTGTTGCAAGAGATCATCCTCTTCGGGACTCCACGGACCTTTGATTCGATCAGCATCTTTTCTCACGGTAATAGTAGTACTAGCACTGATATTATTGTTTATATTTGCCATTGCCTTTTTTTTTTTTTCTCAAAGCAAGAAGAACATGTAATCGGATATTCTGGGCAGTAGAGAGAGATGATGTAAGTTAGAGAGAGAAGAGAAGAGAAAAGAGAGAGGGGCAGTGTGTTTTGGTTAGTGTTTCTTAGGGATATGAGTTTGAGAGGGACGGAAATGGGAGTGGTGGGATTATGGGTTTATATATATCTGAGAGTAGTACTCTACCGTAATATATGAGGGGGGAAGGGTCGTGTGGAGGAAGAGATAGGGTTGAAGGAGGACAAGGAGAGCAGGGGGTTGACCGGTTAGACGGGTGAGAAACGGGGACAGGGAGGGGGAGTTGGTTATGGTGGGCGTTATGGGCACCGCTATTTCGAGGCAAGCGGTTGAAATGAGCAGAGGGGTGCGGGGCGCTTGGGATGGGAGGGGTATTGGGGGATTTGGGATACAGCTGGCAAACGGACACGCGTCACGTCCGACCCCCTGCACTGATTTACACATCAAAAAACTAATCGAATCGTACGTAGTCTTCTCATTTGATTTTCTTTTTCTTTTTTCCACTTTTACGTTTTTTCTCAAACGCTCCCTCTCTCTCCCTGCGTTGGATTGAAGTTTTTCGACAAAAAAAAAAAAAAATTCATACTTTTTGCGATCGCATTTGCCAACAAACTCTTTTTATTTTATATATATAGATAGAGTCATTACTATAAATTTTTAATACTATATTTTTTAAATAAAAAATTTAGAAGATGGCAATTCATACAGGACCTAAGCCCATTACAAGTTGGTATTGCACTCGCTTGCCTTTTGGGCTCTTTCAATTTGGGAATATCTAATTTTTTGTTTTGTACATGCTGTCGAACAATCAACAGAGTGAGTGGATATAATCGGAGTTGGCAAAACGGGTAGAAAATAGTAAAAAGACGAAGAAGTACTTAGCTGTATTTATTTTATTGAATTTTTGTAGCTCTGCTTGTGCCGTCCCTACCTTACTGTACCTCCTGGCAGTAGCGGTTAGCGTCTAGGAGGACAGAAAGAAACAGAGAGGGAGCCGATCAGCTTTGACCGCAAGGAGAGAGGGAGCGCCAGGCTGAGCGAGCATTTTTTCGCTTTCGTGTGGGTGGGAAGGATATTATGCTATGAGATATATGTTAACTCCCCACCGGGGGCCCAATATTTTAATATATATATTTTTTAAAATTTTAGGTGTACTCTAATAATAAATTGAAAGTAAAAAGAAAATCAAAACGGCCGCACGGAATTGCTGAGCTGGCAGAAAACGACAAGATTGGTCGCCTAATCGGAGGGCGAATCATTACTGCTATCCTGTCAGTCCAGCCTGTGATATTTTAAATCTCTCTCTCTCTCTCTCCCTCTCCCTCGACTTCATCTGCTACTACTTTCTCTCCCCCCCCCCCCTCTCTCTCTCCTTGTAACGGCTTCCCACCCAATTTCTTTTCACACCTTTCTCTCCTTCACAGGCTGTAACCTGTAACCGGTCAGTCGGTTACCTCTCTCCCATTCCTTTTTCATGGAGTAGTAAGCAAAAAATCTAATGTACTCCCTAACCCTAGGGGGAAAAAAAAAAGAAAACTAAAATTAGAAAGAAATTGTACGGATTCAGGTAATCCCACGCTTGCATACACGGTTCCCAAAGCCCAGCGACTTTCCTACAGCCTTCCTCCTCACCTTTAATTAATCAATCCTCCCCTCAAATAAACCCAACATAATTGCTTTGATTGATTAATTTATACGGATTCCATCCCCACTAAATCTCTCTACTACCCCGTACAATTCAACGCCCCCAGCCCTCCCGCCCCAAAAAAAATAATAAAAACTAAAAAAAATTTGCGTCTAACATACCTAAATTTGTGAGTGATTGACAGATAAAACTTAAAAATGAGGGAGACGGTGGCGGAGGGCCGGGTTCGGGCGTTACGGGGGCAGCAGGGGGTAAAATATATGTTAGAAGTGGTCGGTATCTGCTACGGCAACTCGTAGTCGTATGTAGTGCCTACAACCCACCTGCCTATTACTCGTGCCCCCTACTGTTTGGTAGCGCTACACTTTTTTCCCCTGCTACTAACAATCTACTCCCTAAATTGATTCATGGATTATTATTTTATTGAGTTTTTTTTAATAAAATTATATACTGTACTAATTTAATGTATGTAAAAAAAAAAGTGATTGAAATAATTTAATTCCAAAAGATATAGAACTCTTTTAGAAAAAAAAAATGACAATTCAAATAAGATCGTTTCAATTAAAATAATACTATAGATCCGAGCAATTGAATCCCTATAAAAGTTATGAAATTCGTGTATAGTATCCAAACACCTCCTACTTGATTTCTTTTGAAAAATACTACTCTTATGATTAGTTCTTTGTGTGGATAGATTTACCAATCACAAAAAATTATGAATTCCTATGGCACGGTGAAATTATGAATTCCTATGGCACGGTGAAATACTATGTTGATCAATGATAGATATAATACAAAAATGTGAGTGATTGATGTCTCTATTTGTTAAAACAGAGAGCTTTTAGGTTTTGTTGATATAGAACACAATAACTTTTTTTATCTCTCGCTTTTAAAAGTGTAATTTTACGTCTATTACAAATTTACATTGATCAAATTTGATTCTTACCTAAATTTCTGACTAGTTTTTAGTTGAAACCCAACACGTGTCTTGCATATAATTATTTTTGAATGACAAAATTATTAAATCAAATTTTACATAATCTGGTCCATAGTTCCTCACATTTCACAAAATAAATTTTTCATCCCTCACATTTCATAATATGAATTTTTTTATCCCTTATTGATTATGTGTTTGAATAGTTTTTTTTTTAATCTACCTGTCTATGTATTTGATTTCACTTGAATAAGATGAATAGCATGTAATATATCTCTATTTGATTTTACCTAAACAGATTAATTATAATTGTACACATGCTATTCAATATATATATATTTGGGTTTAAAACTAACAATTTTATTTTAAACCAATGTATATATTTATTTGAGCTCGCCATGTGAATTTGTTCAATATTTGTGGTCTTTTCTCTTTTAGTGATAATTTATTTATTGAATTGTATAATAAAGCCATCTAATTAATGAGTCATAACTCGAATTTTATAGTCATGCTAATAAATTGTAATTTAAATTTGAAATTTCTACTCGACACTTTTAAGATTAATAATTGAATTATTTGCCTTGTAATTGTCTTAAAATTTGAAAGTGCCAATTACTTACTTTTTTTATCATATTTTTTCTTTGATTATTTTTTTATCCAAATTAATTCGATATAAACACTAAATAATGTCCAAATTATTTGATTACATCTAAATAAACTAATTGTAGTTGTACACATGTTATTCATATTATTCATGTGAAATTAAATAGATATATATATATATATATATATGGATTTAAAAAACTATTCATACACATGATCAGTAAAAGATGAAAAAATTCATTTTGTGAAATGTGAGGGAGAAAAAAATTCATGTTGTGAAATATAAGGGACGAAAAATTTTATTTTGTGAAATATGAAGGACTATGGATCGAATTGTGTAAAATTAATTTGATAACTTTGCCGTTAAAAAATGATCACGTGCAAAGCATGTGATAAATTCGTATCAAAAACTTGCTGGAAACTTAGGTAGAGACTAAATTTGATAATATAAATTTGTAAGGGACGTAAAATTATACTTTTAAAAATAAATGACGAAAAAAATTATTTTGTAAAATGTGAATGCCGTTTTGAACGATTTTTCCTTTGGAGAATATCAATATGTTCTTTAAAATATGTAAAACGAAAAAAAAAAAATTAATGGCTAATATCGCAAATGCGGACAAATTTCGTGCACTGCTACTACTTTTTCGTGCACATTCTTTTTCTTTTTCGGTTGCATAAGGTCCGAACTTTTGACTTTACCTTCCGCTGCCTGCTGGTGGTGGCATCGGAAAACGAATTCTCAAAAGGGATATTTTTTTCCGGCCTCAATTTCAGATATTCTCTCCGCAACTAACTAACATGATCGGAAACCAGAAACTGAATTAAATAGATGCCCAACTGAATTGTTGTCTCCTGTTTGATGAAGACTGGCCTCTCTTTTTCTTTTGTTTCAATTTCTACCACTTTTGATCCTTATGAGTCTCATCTGACCGTACATTGCTTCAAGTATTAAATCACCCAAGGCAAAGTCTGCCAATCGGTCATGACCAATATGTGAGCTGCAGCAGGTCAAGTCATGAATCATATGATACATTTACCAGTCCTAACATTTTAACACCTGGACAGGAAATAAAGCACTGAAGATCAACTTTATCGGTACCCCTGAAATTTGGCCTGTTAGCGTTGAATACAGCACATTTTCATCCTGAAACATGCAACTGGAAGTTTTTTTTTTTTTTTTTTATTTATTCTTTGAGTTAGTTCTTGCTTTTCTCGTTACAAATAAGCGTCTAGACTACGAAATTCCTGTTATTTATAAAGTAATTCTTATATATACTGACAGTGTATATATAGTATCGTCATTAAATTTATGACATATATGTGAAAGTTAGATTTTAAATTTAAATTTTATATAATTGTCATTCATTCAATATTGACGGTGTATATACTGTCAATGTAGAAAAAATTAATCCTTATTTACATGCAATACAAAGGTAGTTAAGGGTTTCATGTTTTTCTTTTTTTTTTTTGGGATGAAAATTTTCCAAATTTTGCCCAACTAATAACTGAAATGAGGCTAATAAAGCACCAATTTGGAAGATAAAAACATTTTTATTGCTATCAACGAGTGGCAATGAAATTTCCAATAGCCGTTGTTGAGCTACTTACTACCTTTCAAGTGATATAAATAGCCAGATGAAAAATCAAATAGACAGACTTTGAACTGACAAGTTATACAAAAATGAACAGAGTGGAACCCATCCATGCTCCGTCCTAATGCCTCATGGATAAAAAAATAAATACGAAAGTACAAACTTTTGGGAAGAAAACAGGGAAAAGAAAAGAAAAGAAAAGGAGGTGGGGGTGGGGGTGGGGAAACCGGGAAAGTATAGAGGGGAAAATCAACGAAAAGAAGAGAGTGAGAGAGAGAGAGAGAGATACAGAGGGGAAATCGTATTTGAACACCTCACCGTTGCAACGAGACAGATGTCCGTGTCAGGCTCACGGGCCATCTTTCGTGTTCTTGTGAGAAAATGTCGTTAAAGGGGCAAAAAAAAGGGTTAATGTCGTAAACTTGTTGGGTTTTGTTTTCTAAACCGGTTTTTTCACGACAGCCGATCCGTCTCTTTCTTATCTGCAAGGAAATCCCACAGACTAACCGTAACCGCAAGCATGC